TAGCAGGAATGTGGCGCATCAAGGTCCAACAGATCTTCCATGCTGCTGTGCAAAATCTAGCAATATGTGCTGTAATAAAAAGCAGTTCATCTATAAACAGCATCTGGACATAAGCCAAGTCTGAGTGACCAGGATATCTGCCAATCAGAGGAAGGATAAATCTGGTTCGAGTGTCTCTGTACAAGGAGCAATGGAGAAGAAAATGTTCTGTGGTTTCCACCTCTCCAGAATTCCAGGGGCAGAGCCTTTCAGCCAATGGTCCTTTTTTATATATGCCATCCAATGCTGCAGAGGGGAGAGCATGACACTGTACAAGAGAGAAAGGTTTCCAATGGCTGGGTGTTTCTAGCTGTGTGAGGTAGCTGGCAGCAGTGACAATATATCTGTTGTATGTTGTGTGGGCCTTCCCGAGATTTACCTGATGTTCCATATCCTTTATCCTCTGGTTCAGAGTTTGTTTGGCCTGATCATATTCCATCTTAAGAACCAAGGAGGGAGAGAAGCCCAGATTTAGACGTTTAGATTCAACATCTTAATCCAGGTAGATTGAAAGTTGTCAATGGTGCTAGGCCTTGAGGATAAAAGTTAAGCTTTAACGAAAGGTTTATGGAAGCAAGACACACTCTCAACTTTTATCATACCTGTCTCCAGTCATAGATGTTTATTTGAGACACAGTGAGGTATCTGCTCTGATGAATTTGGATCATACCCTCTCCAAGGAAGTAAAACAAAAAGCTGGAGGGCCAACCAAAGTCCCGTAAAGGAACTGGACTAGTGCCTTAGCCTGAAAAAGCTTAAGTGCAGCTGGGACATAATATCCTCTCTTGGAGTGAAAAAAATTAAGGCACTGGCAGATCTTTGTCCAGTGTCAGTGGCATATTCACAGTGAGCTTTCCTTGAGCCAGTGGCATGCATAACTACTCCTAAATACTTGAAGCAGGTCACCTGTTCTATCTTGTGACCATTAATGCTCCATGAGTGGAGCTTTGGTCTTTTGGCAAATGCCATAATGTTGGTTTCTGATAGTTTATTGCCAGATGATCACTGTTGCAGTATCGGGCCAGTGTTTTCAGAGCACTTTTAAGGCCTATTGGTGTTCTGAAAACCATCGTCTGCATAAAGCAGCAGAACAATGCTGCGATCCCTTAACTTGGGGGGGGAATGGAAATTTGAATAGTTTAGGCATACCACCATATCACTGATATAAAAGTTAAAAAGCAGGGGGGCCAAAATGCATCCCTGTTTGATCCCCTTCTGAGTTTTAACTGGCTTTGAGAGAAACCCTTGCATATTGCACCTGACCTTAAGAGTTGTATTAGTGTGTAGGTGTCAGGTTCTGCCCAAGGATCACACAAGAGAGTCCAGAAATCAGCTTAGCTTCTTTATTAGCTTGCACCTAATAGAATTTCACCAGACTAACTCTAATTCCCCAACGAGAGCAACTATAACCATCAAGCCCTTAGGGAGGGGCCATTCTCTTCCTCTGCCCAAGGATCACACAAGAGAGTCCAGAAATCAGCTTAGCTTCTTTATTAGCTTGCACCTAATAGAATTTCACCAGACTAACTCTAATTCCCCAACGAGAGCAACTATAACCATCAAGCCCTTAGGGAGGGGCCATTCTCTTCCTCCTTACTTTCATGCAGTCCAGCTGGGGGCTGAGGAGATGCTTGGAATGTCACTCCCCGTCCCTGTAACCTTGCAGCTCCCTTCCAGAATCCTCCCCACTCATGCCCCACAGTAGGGTTCAGGTTAAGTAGAGAAGCCTGCAGTCGATTGATAAGACTTCCAGCTTCTCACATAGTTTGGTCCTGCATACAGAATCAAAGGCTATTTATGAAGGCAGCATAGAGTGAAGCCACATAATTGGTTGAATATTTTTCAGTCAAGTGCTGTAGGACCATGCATTGATCAATGGTGCCACTACCTTCTTTGAAACCAGCCTGCTCTTCCATTATCAGATTTACCTGATCCAGCCAGTCCTTAAGTTTATCATGGAGGTGCTTAGCATAAAGTTCACTGATTATGTTGAGCAAGATAATTGGGCTATAGTTAGCAGGATCATCTCTCTTTCCATTCTTGAAGATTGGAACTATAATTGCTGGGGGATGCATCCAGTGGTGTCAATATAGGTAACCAATTTGATGTACGTAGGTCAGAATTATTTACTGTAAGACTATAGTAACAGGAATTTGCAAATCTGAATGCACTTCCCCCCTTCCCTCTATCTTTGTGTAAACTAGGGAGGGGCTTGTCTGAGACATTTACTCATCTCTCAGACATAGGCCCTTTTTATCTGATCGTTGCCTTGGTAGCAGCTCTTCCTCCTGTCCCTGCAGGCCATTTCCTGTGCTTTCTACAGATGGATTCCAAGTGTCTGAGATAACTTGCGCCTGCTGCGGCCTGCGGACAATCACTCATTTTGTCCTCTCCTCCTCACTTATTTATCACTTAAAAGTCACTTATTTTTTCCTCCACCAGTGGAACAGCAGCTGAGGGTTCAGGTTTAGGATATGATTGCCCACCATCACCTTCTTTTCATCTCCTGACATGCATTGCCTTTCTCTCCTCCATATGTGAACACTGGGGATAGAGCTAATGACTGTTCTGATTGCTGATTGCTCAGCAAATGTTTTGGCTTCTGGCCCATTCTTGATAAACATTAGAATAGTCCTTATATATTTAACCAAAAAGCCAATAGCATTTTGATTATAAGAGGCCATGAAGAGAGTTCAAGCAACCTAACTGATTATACCAGAAGGATAATTTCATATGGCTAATTGGAGCTGGATTCTTCTCAGATTTTATTTAGCTATTAAATAAAGGCAAGTTTAACTTTGAAATATACTTAACCTTGTGTGTGCCCTCAAAGATCATCCTGTCACATTCAGTGTAATACCTCATGGAAAAGGAAGAGAACATATTTCTATAGTCAAATTAGTCTCTCTGTACAATCTGAAGGAAGCAGTGATTTGTAACATATAAATTTATACGAGTATAGAAAAACTGTAAAGAGAATGCTAATATTGCCTCCTTTAGAGTCTGGCAGTCCCAAATCATTTTTACAAGTTAAATAAAATTATTCATCATTTTCAGTTCTATACAAAATGAATAATTAAGGGCTCTTGTAATGTCATGGTCATACAAAGAAGAATGCAAAAAAACTAAATTCATAGGTTGTGAATGGCTGTACCTTATAATGACATATCTCCAACTCTATCTAGCAATATTATATATAATATTTATTATATTACAAAATTGGTACCATTCTCATTAATTTAGTTTACTATAGGCCATTTCTTCTGCCCTTTTATGTTGGCTCAAAAGTCAAAATAATGTAATTGAAACCTGGGAAATTAAAAGTCTGTTCTTTACCTGGAAATTGCAGTTGTGAAACCAAGGGGCCTCTCCATCCCATGGAACATACCAATGGGGACAAGATAGTTTTCTCTTACCCCATTGGTACATGCAGATGTTCCATGTTAGGAAGAACAAAAGGGGACAGCTGAGAGAAGTATTAAGCACATTGTATGCAGTCTGTGAATATGAGCATGACTTAAATTCAAAGATCAAGAATGCTTTGCAATTTAGAAAACCTGATTCTAGTTCAGAAGGAGACTGCAGATAACTTATTTGGACAAGAAGACTACATTTGTTCAATATGGAGTTTAATGTATGATACACTACTGAAAGCGATTCTGTCCAGAACCAACTAGAAATTCTAACTCTAACTACCATTTCATATCTAGAAAAGCAAGCATCTGAAAGACCTGGACAGATTTACTTGTAACTAATATATCTGAAGAATCAAACTTCCTTATGATTAACCAATCAGATAGCATTAAAGGCATAGAAAATGCTCAAGCAAGCTTGTGAAAGTAAAATGTATCTGACCCTTGAAGGTTTAGAACGTTCTAAAGTCTAATTTATATAGGGAGGTAGAATTTTTTTGATCAGAAATGTCCCAGCCACCACCTGTTACTTATCACTAACTTCTGCTCTAGTAAACTGCAAGGGCTTCATTCCTCTCTTTCATATGTTCAGAATCTCATTCACTCTCTTGCACATCATTTATACCAGAGATAAACAGATTGCCTGCAGGTTATGAAATCCAAAGATTCACTAAATGACAGTGGAGAGTTAGATACTCTCTCTGCTACCATCTAGTCATCATCTGGATATTTGCTACTCAGATATGGGAGCCCCAGCTATATTCTGTTTTTTCCTAGAAATCTAACATGCACCAAAGCACAGCTTTGGAATAGACGGTATATGCTTAGAAACAAGTGTAAATGTGAAGAGAAGAAAACTATACTAATTGAAATAGCCAGTACTATAAAACAAACAAATCCATGCACTGCTATGTGTATTGGCAGAACTGCAACATATATTGTATTATAACTATTGAAATATATGAAATAGCAGAAATAGCTTGGAATATTTATGCCTTCTCACCTGCCACATTCAGTAAGTAAAAGTAAGTCAAAAAATATATGTACTAGGTCACCCTATCTATACGTGCATTGGAAAGATGCAGATTTGTTCAACTTTTGTGAGGGGAAAAGGATAAAACTGGAATTTAATCAAGTGGAAAAAGTGAAATATTACTGAATTTTATTAATATATGGTTATCCTAAAATGGTTTGCTGAGCAGAGTAGCCATCATGCCAATAAAATTTCAAGCTATGACTATTATTTTGTGTGGCATAATCTTGTGATTATGATTCAGGATTGAGAATTGGATAGAAGTAATTTTAAAAAACCACATTAGTCAGGGTTTAGAGTAATTAGGCCATTGGGGGTTACTGTCAACACATGCATAGGGTCTGGTTACGTGAGGGACTGCCTGTCTCCCATAGTATCTGCCCAGCTGATTCAATCTTGCAAAGTAGGCGCACTCCATGTTCCTTCAATTAAATAATGTCATCTATTGGGACTCTGGAAGTGCAACTTCTCTGTAGCAGCACCTGCGCTCTGGAATGAGATTTTCCCCAAGATCTGGATGGCCCCCACTCTGCTGTTGTTCAGAAGAGCCATAAAAACCTAGCTCTTCACCCAGGCCTTTGGCGAGGAAAAGTGAAACCCTTGGCTTCACTCAATCCAATCTGTCACGCTTGCCATCTTTTCTTTTTTATTGATTTTACTGGTTTTATTGTAATTTTTTTGTTTGATTGTTGTGAACTGCCCAGAGCTATTGGGAGTCAGGCGGCATACAAGTTTAACAAATTATTATTATTATGCTATTGTCAACATTTGCTTGCTGTCAACACAAATAATGGGATAAGGTGAAGCTAGAGCCCAGTGATTATGACTGTTTGTGTATTAAGGAGTGTTATTTTTAGGGTGCTGGGACTTGTTTTTGGAATGTTGGTTTTTATTGTTTTATTACTGTTGGTGTAAGCTGCCCAGAGTTATGGTACTTAGGATGGGTGGCCATATAAGTCAAATGAATACATACATACATACATACATACATACATACATACATACATTTGTGTGGTAAGAAAAGTCTTGGATCCAAAATAGAACCAAAAGGAGAAGATGAATGTCTAGTTTAAATTGCAACCTTCCAGAGAACAAAACGACTTCTTTCTGTTATAAATCCATAAAGGAAGAAGGGTGTATAAAGCTAAATGTGAACTGCTTTGAGCTATTTTGGAGAAGGCAGCATGTATTATTGTAAATAAATATACATACAGAAGTTTCGAGTCCATAGTATAGAAATATAATCTATTTTCTTCTAATATATCTGATCCTATCAAATTTACTGGAAACAGCATTCCTAAAATCCAAATTCCAATGCATGTTAACAAAGATATGGCAAATTACTTTTCACATTAGCCAAAAAATATATTGAACAGCAATAAGAAATACTGTGTCCTCTTTTTAGTAGGTCACTTCACTCTTTAAAACCCAAGCCCAATCTGTACAATCCAGGAAAGGAAATTGTCTTCAAAGCATCCAATTAGAGCTCATTGTTGTTCATGAAGTAAGAATTTTGTGATAGGGTCTGGGACTGGAAGAGTGTGTATCAGCTGTAAGCGGTGTTTCCCAAGAGCCCTTCGTATTGCCATGCGGCACAAAGACATCAAACGTCTAGGGCGACCTGCAGTGAAATGCATAAGAAGTGGACAAGGAAAGCAACTTAATACCATAACCGATCCACAGATGACTTCATATATATTAAGTCCTTGTTAAGCCCTATATTCTGCCGAGGAGAGTTTAGACTATGAGCTCCAGTCCTCCTTGAGGCACTGAAGCCAGCTGGGTGACCTGGGGCCAGTCACTCCCTCTCAGTGCAACCTGCCTCCCAGGGCGGTTGTTGTGAGAAAAATAGGACAAGGGAGCACTATGTGGTCTGTCCCTTGAATTGTACAAATAAAGGGATAGAAAAATATTACAAATTCCCCAGCTTCTATGATATATGGCTTTATCTTGTAAAGCAGCTATTGAAAAAGGGGGGCCTTATTTTAATCATTTGTATGTATTTGTCACTTTGATCCCATATGTATTACTCTAAAGTCAGAAATATTATATACATTAAAGTCTACTTACAAATCAAATATGCACAAATTTGGGTGCATACTTAGTACTTATCACTAATTCTGCCCACATGATAACCTATTTTATCTGTACTTCCCTGGATATCTCTAAAAATTGTTCATTATAGCATATGCCTTTTTAGGAATGGTCCTCATTAAGTTGTAGGCAAGTATACAACTTTATTCAAGCAGCAACAACAACACAGAGGATTGGAGAAGGCTCCATTGAGTCACAGGCTGATGATAAGATATGGGCTTAAATCCTTCCTTAAATAACTGCCTTCAGCCTTATCAAATAACTGATTTCCTAATCATTTGGAGGAATCTGAGGATTCAGATAAATTCATTTAATCTGATTCATTTAATTTTAGTCCAGCTAATGATATAGTTTATGCTATGAGTGAGCTCAGTGAATCATGGAGTTGGATGTTTGCTCATTCTGAATGGAACCTGCTGTGGTATCTGCGCCTGTCCTCCATGCAGCCACAGCAGGGACTCCTCTCAGGCCTTGCATCTGGGACTGAGGGGTCAGAAACTGTGACCTACCAATGATTAGAGTGACTTTACACAGGCACAGTTTGAAGTACTGTTTTGGTTTTGGGCTTTTAAGGACCTAAAGAGCCTTTATTTACTACGTATTTTGTGAGTTATATTTCATGCAAATGATTAAAACAGCCAGGAGCCCTCCACCCAAAATCTTGGCCCCCAAAGTTGTTGCTGTACTGTGGTTCTTAAGATGACAAAACAGTAATTCCTGTATCTAATATTTAGACAGGGATTATAACAATTGTATTTAAGCTAATTTTTAATCTAAATGTTTTTTCTCCGTCTCCAGACTTAAAGAGCATAACATTAGCAGCTTTAGTCTGAAAAAGGGTTCCCCCCCCTTTTTTTTTAATAACTGAGGGGCTGAAATAAATATTTTTTATTTGTGCCTTCTTATTTCAGGGGATATTTCCCTGAAATCATCCATTTACCCATTTTTGAATGATAAAATTACTTTTCCTTTTTTATTTTTGATTTGATACTTTTGATGATACATCCTGTTCTGACTTTCATTCTAGGCTTACTTCAACCCTGGGGCTTCTCTATCAAAATCCCAAGCTTCTGATTAAATTCTCCTGGGGTTGATCTTCTAGGTTGCTGCAGCTTCTTCTGTGTTAGTGTGACACAACTGGGCAAGATTTTTGTTTCATTTTGGGACCTGAAAATGCTTTGATTTTTACCCCTATATTGTTTAATTCCTATGCATTTCATTATTGGTTTTGGTCCGATTGTGGCTCAGTTAACATATTATTTTATGGATGCATTTACTGATTTTTAGTTGGTGAACTATTCTGAAATTAATTTTCCCAAGTGATATATAAATACTATTGACTGCTTTTAAATCCATCTACTATGGCAATTAATTTTCTAATTAAATATAAAGTCTAATTTTAATCTATGAAAAATTCTAAAGATACACATTCAGCTAAGAAAACTTTTAATCACTAGCAATCTTACTGTATGTATTTCTAGTTCAGCACACACCTTGCAGAACCAAAATGTGAATGTCATAAGAACCAGTGCCACTCACTTCGGGCTTCTTGAAATGCCAGCAAGGCTTCTGGATTTACTCTGATTCTTCCCATAGCTCCTTCTCCCAGAGTTTCCCATTTCACCAGATCCAGGTTGGCACCAAAGTCAATCAAGAGGAGAACAAAAGCCACTTCACAGCCATGACGTAAGACTGCATCCATGACACATACTGCAGAACCCCTGGAGAAGCCTTGAATGTTTACAGGACCATAAGAATTAAAATCTGGGTTGGCTCCAGCTTGTAGAAGAAGCCTGAAGCAGGGGAGGTTGTGATAGGCTGCACTAATGTACAGAGGACAGACCATCAGAGATGTAAGTGGTCGAGAAGATGGGCTTGGGGTTCCAGAAGACAAATGGTGATTAACATCTACATCAGCTCCGTATCTGAAGAGAAAATGATGCAATCATTTTGAAAAAAAAAATCCTTTGTAGAAAGAGGACAGCAGCTAAGCAATTTCTTTCTGATTCTAATATCTTTCAAAGTTTATTTCTTTTAGCCTTGCTGGGCCTCTGGGCAACTATCCTTCTCTGCAATGATTATAAAATGAACAAGTCAACCCTAGCAGCAACTGACATCTGCTCTTACTGGTTTATGTATAATATCCTAGAACAGGAAGGATAGAAATAAAATTTTATAAAGGCTGGCAGGAGATTCCTTTTGCCCATGAAATGAAATACAGTATGTGATCTTATAGGTATTTCCATATTTCAGCAGCACAGGAAGTCTTTAATTTCTAAAATTCAGCAGCACAGGGGTCAGTTAAATATTCTAAGCCAATTATAGAGAGCCAGTTTAGTATAGCGGTTAAAGCACCAGGCTGGAAACCATAAGACCGTGAGTTCTAGTCCCAGCTTAGGCACAAAGCCAACTGGGTGACCTTGGGTCAGTCACTTCTCAGCCCTAGGAAGCAGGCAAGGGCAACCCACTTCTGAAAGTCTTAATAATCATAATCATGATTTAATAAAATTTAGATGCCACCTGACTCCCAGAGCCTGACTCTTGCCAAGAAAACTGCAGAGGCTAGTTCAGGCAGTCCCCAGGTGACAACACAGACTTGAAGGGGGGGGGGGGGG